CAAATCCGTACCATGAACGAAAGACACCGGTCAGAACGCTATGAAATGGTACGCAGGTGCCCGCAAGTAGCATAGGAAGCCGATCACTGGTATGGGATGCGTTCTAGAAAAGGGCAAGAGAAGGCAGGTTCGTCACCAGTATGATTACCTAGGAGGCATTTCTCAAATGATATAGTCATACCATAGCCTTTTACCACGTCGGCTTTGCCGGTTCCGGTTTCTGTTTTTCTTCCGAGGCGCAGGCCGACCTGCCTTCATTGCTTTCGGCAGCGTCGAGGGTACCGACTCGCCGGCCGCGGCTGAACCGGCCGTGATGGAGCCGGCTGGAGCAGTGCTAGCCGACGCGCCGGCCACGGCAGAACCAGCTGTGGCGGGGCCGGCTGGGGGAGCGCTAGCCAACGCGCCGGCCACGGCAGAACCAGCTGTGGCGGAGCCGGCTGGGGCAGCGCTAGCCAACGCGCCGGCCGCGGCAGAACCAGCTGTGGCGGGGCCGGTTCGGACAGTGCTGACCGACACCCTCGGTATCAACCAAAAGGCTTCAGCTCCAAGCAGGGCTGCAGGGGTAGTAGCCGTGGGCAACAGTACAGCTGCCGACGACCCAGGCAACAACCAGGCTTCTGACACTCCCGTCACGATTGGGGCAGCAGATGGCAACGTCGCCACGGTGCCCGTCTCGTACACTACTGAGGTGCCTGGTGCTTGGGTTATCGTTTGTGTCGCTGTCGCCGTGAGCGACGGCGACGAACCGCATGCCCTCGGCGGCGACAGCGCAGTTGGCGCTTCGAGACCGGGAAGCGCCCCAGCCGACGCGCTGCAAACAACAGTTGCACACAATAAGGTAATAGCATTGAATGACACAATTAGTTTGATGCAATGACAACGATATGCTGAGAACAACACAGCAAAAAACGACAAGCCGTGTGACTTGCTAACCATGGCGGCAGCAACACCGGCAACACTAAGCACGGTCCCGTCGTTTAACGATGATAACAAAAAGACATCCAAGCGTCAGACACGCTGTCAAATTTCCCGACTCAGACACCATACGCAGCCACGCTACTGTCGTTGGCATACCGCAGATGCCACTCCCGTACCTGACGTGGGTGCGCTTCCGATAAGCTCGGACCACCCTCCGCTTCGTTCCGGCGAGTGTTGCCGCGCTGTGCCGCGAACGAGACGGCATTGGCGCACATCAGCGACGCCAGACCCCTGACGGTCCTCGGGCCAGAGTACCATCTCCAGCGTGGCTGGCTGGTGTGGTGGAGGTGGCGGTCTGGGATGGGGTAGGACGCGCCGGCAGAGGTCCAGGATCTCTCGCTTCCGAACAGCCATGAGCTGTGGGTGCGGATGAACACCGTCCTGCACAGTCATGCTTCCTGCGGCGAGGCTTCCTGCACAGCCATGTGGTCCAGGTCCAGCCACCTTCCAGGGCGATGCCCCAAAGCCAATGATCGAAAGATAATGTTGAGGTCTCTGCGGGCAGCTTCTGATGCGATAGTGTGTGTGCTGTCATAACGACGTGGTACACCAAGGAAAGACACATGCCGTGCACCACGCCGCATAATGCTATCATGCACAGCATGCACTAGACTCGACATCACTTCTGTGTCAGGAGCTACATGGTGTCGCGGGTGTGCATCATTGGAACCACAGCACACCACCACCACAGCTCCATTTAATTCCTGTCTTGATACCTCATGTCGCAAAAGTGATATTACTTGAGTCATTTTGAGACCATACTGCGAGCGCATGATAACCCAGCTCAGTCCTCCCTCTGTCATCAGGCAGTATTTTTTTTTAGAGGAAAATGCACCTCTAAGCAGAGAGTCAGACATAATCACAGCCATGGTGCCCATGCGCCCTGCGTAGGATGAGAACAAAGCGTTCTTAGAATACCGGCGGGATGTTGTGAATTCAAGGTTGACTTTTGCGCTGAACTAGCAAAAAGACAGACAGAGCTATAACTTTTCTGAAACCAGATGCCGGTCCAAGATTTTATATTTAACGTGATCAAGACATCAATATCTACCAGCGCACGGATCTATCATAGAATTGAAGGGGTCCGCCCTTTTTATCGTGATGTCATATTGATATACCTCCGGAAATGGGGCGTACCAGTGCACCATGCTAAGATCATTATGCTCAGGAGATTTAACTGCATGGGTATATAAAATTTATGCCAAACTAAGGAGTCCGCTGAATATGTAATATGACACTAAGTAAAAGATGAGAATTTGCAATACAAGCTGGATTTCCTTTGGGATTCAGCGGACTTCTCAAATTGGGCAGAAACTTTGTAAAGAGATGCAGTTTAATCTCCTGAGCAAAATGAGCATAAAATCTCGGACCGGTACGCCCTATCGCCGGACATATGTGAACAAGAAACATCACAATGGAAAAGGCGGGCTCCTTCAATTCTTGCTTAACTCCGCGCGCTGGTAGATATGGACCTCCTGATGACGATTTTAAAAAAATATTGGACCGGTACGCCTCACCAAAGCAGTTACAGGTATTCTCATGTCGATGTCGGGAATCCAGCACCTGTGGTATCATATCATGCTTGAATAAAGGCGCGTTCGGTGGGGCGAGGACGTGCGGCCCTCAGTCAACGTCCAACGTTAAAGAAAACGCGGTAAGTAAAAGTAAACGTATGTACGTAAACCTAGCTGCGATCCGCGGTGGTCGGGTGCCCCGCGCGGGGCCACATGCCGGCGGGCATGGTTTTGAAAGTGCAGCTGCTTGGTGCGTCCTTGACCGCTCTCTTCCTCTTTCCCCTGTGGTCGTGTGAAATGTAACTGCGGTGTCTGGTGTTCAAGGTGTGCTCCACCAGTGACGTCATAAAACGCGTAGTCCTGTTACATTGGTTTCCGGGGGTTCACCCGTATTCCACTTGCACTCGGTGCCCCATCCGCCTTAACTGGCAGCGTGTCCCCCCCCCCAAGGTTCTGGGATATTGGGAGCTCCAGGTGTCCGAACGACCGAACATAAGTGGCCGAACGACATGACCTGTCTTGTCGGCGTAGTGTCCGGAGCTTGAGCTGCCGTACACCGTCCTCCTACCTACCGTCCTCCACCACTAGCTTTCTCTCGCAGCCTGCTATCACCGACGTCCGCAGCTCGAGCTGTCTGCTCGAGCCTACTAACCTTGACCTGCCCTGGCAAACTTTTTACTGGAATTCCCGCTGTCGCCCACCGCTGACTGTGTGTGGCCTGCAACAACGACCGAAGTTTCATGCATCTTTCATTCATCCACAACTGGCCCTGCCCCGTGGCCTCTTGTCACTTACGTCTGGAGCTCGAGCTGTCTGATAGCACAGTCTGCTTGGCCACTGTTGATCTAACCGCGTGCCCCCCCCCCCCCCCCCCGTCTCTGCGGTGTCTGCAGCTGGGATTGCCTTCCGTTGGTGACGTCACGCTGCGATCCGGCCTTTTACGGGAGTACCCTGAGTTCGAGCTGTTCTCCACCAATTACTGCAGCCCATGTCATGTCTTGGGCTCCAGATATCCTTTATCTACAGTCTGCCTCGTGACCTTCAACCTCCCCCATGACCTGCAAACTGTCCCGTCGTCTGGCAACCTGCACCGTGACCTTTAACCTGCCCCCGTGTCCTCCAACCTGCTCGCTTAACATGTAACCTGCCTCCGTGACCTCGAACGTGCCCACTCGCCTGCAACCGCCCCCGTGACCTGCAACCTGCATCTGTGACCTGCCTCCGTGACTTGTAACTTTCCCCCTTGACCTGCAACATGGCCTGCACCCTGTCCCCGTGACCTGCAACCTGTCCCTCGTGACCTGTGACTTGCCGCCGTGACCTTCCACCTCGCCCCGTGACTTGCACCTTGCTTCGAAGTCCTGCAACCTCTGCTCATGTCCTGCAATATGATCTGGTGGCATGTAATCTGACGTTGTCACTCGTATCGTGACCCAGTGACCTGTAACCTGATCCTATGACAACCAATCCCATTAACCTGCAATCAACATATTGGCACGCAACCTGACCCAGCAGCCTGTATCATCTTGACTTCGTGGTCTGCACCCGTACTATGATCTGCAACCTGGCCTTGTGACCTGGCATGTTGCAGCCGCATCTGAAATCCCATCTGTCCTGGGCGGGTGCTTTGACCAGTGCCTGTCCCGCCGGTGTTGTGTCAGGAGATCCAGCTGTACTCCGTTGATGACCACAACTCGCTGACCAACTGGCGCGAGATGCTAACTCAAGTTTTTCTTTTGTACGACAAAAACGGTTCCGACAGCGAAACCACCCATGGATATAGTTGTCCTTACGGGTATATTTAACCTCCGTTGATGTCACTGCGCTCGTTGTCTGCATTTGTCTACAGTGTGCTGTACTAATTAGTAATTTCGTCAGGTTGGTAGCTTAATGTCTGTCGCTGCAAGTCATTAATGATGGTTATAAGGCACCGCACGAAACGACACAGGTTTGTCTCGTGAGATTTATGTGGTGTTGTCAACGTGAAATAATGGAATTCGCAGAAGGCAGGACACTGGCACGCCAAGTGTCGCGATACCTATGCCCGAGCCACTAAAGCGGCAATAGAGGTAGGGAGGACCGCCGCTGCGGTTTTCCCGTTATACGATACCAAATGTGATCGCCATCGACATTATATTCACTCAGTCTCGGAGTGTGACGTTCCGTGATAGACAAAGTCCGATGTTGAAAATAAACCTGTCCTTTTGCTTTATTTTGGTTGGCATACTCCGTCAGACGGGAGGGACTTCGGACCCGTTGGTCGAATGACTAGCCCGAAGCCCGAGGATAAGTGACAGCACGTCGTGTGTGCATATGTGGGAAGGTGGGAGGGCATGGGGAGGAGGAACTACTGCCCTATGCACAAAAGGGGACCGATATGTGGCTCCAACGTGTACGTCTGCATTCGCTCAGTGCAGGCGATGAGAGATGTCCCAGGACAGCAGCTGTAGCCTGAGCATCGCAGATTCTGAATACATGAAAATCACGTCTCGCACATGAAAAGAAAGACGCCTTCAAGAAGGTTTATAACGCCGAACAGCAGAACAAAACAGCTGGGCATATCCTGTGCCCAGTTTCGTCACGAAAGCACTATAAGGCGCTTGTTTATAGCTTCATGTTTGCGTACATTCCGGTAACGAGATAGTATAAGCCGCGCACAGTATATAACCGAGAACATTCAAGCAAGCCACCCGCATTAACGTACGTTGTCACACGCTGCCGCTGCCTACGAGGCGCCGTTTTTGTAGCATTAATTACCTCCCGCACGCAGGAAGCAGCTCGTCGACTACTATCCACTGTTGCCGTACGCTTGAAAACCAGTGGTTGAGAGCGCGGCCGCTAACCCCGCCGTGGACCCATCCTGATTCAGGTCAGCAGGACGGCCTTAGCGGGCAGTGGCCAGGCCTGAGTGGGCCAGCGAACGAGCTGGTTGCCAAGCTGTCCGGTTTGTCGTGTCCTCGGCTTGCAGTCTGCTCAAGAAGACCAAGAAGACGTGAGGGAGTTGTAGGCCACCACCAGGGTCGATAAAACTGTTACAAGTTCGGACGCAGCTGGAACAGGTCACAGGATTTGAGGTTACAGTATATTGGTTAGTTGGCAGATCATGGGGTCCGGTTGTAGTTCATTGGTCAGGCTGCGCATCACAGGCCACGTTTCTAATCCCTGGATTAGGTTACGGGTCACCGGGACAGGCTGCAGGCCATGGGGGCAGGTTGAACGTCACGGAGGTAGGTTGCAGATAGCATCCAGGACACCACTTTAACAGTTCACGTCATGACGTTCGGAAATCGGTGGAGAACAGCTGGAACTCAAGACACCGGGGTAAAAAAGGCAAGCCGCACAGTAAGTTCATCGTTGGCAAACACTGTCCAGGCAAACAAGAAATCCATAATAGCATTACAGAATATGTCACTGGAGATGTACCAGTAGTATAATCTTCATGGAGAGCAGTAATGGTAGTTATACTACGGACTTTTGGCGCGTCGAGTGCCACATCAAAGCACAGAAGTCCGAACGAGGCACGGTTCAGGTCATTTGTACGAAATCCCCCCTCGCCGACCGTTCAAAGCTTTGTTGTTTATTGATGTTTTGGGGGCGTCGACTATAATGGTCATTTCGCGCCCACACCGTTCGAACTGGTTCATTAGAACCGAACATGGACAGCCTATGGGGGGTGAATTCATGCTGCGGAAATAAGGACATGTCATTACAAACAAAAGCATGTCATGGATGCACTCATCGTCTGTCGATCTCAGGAGAAACAGCGTGTCAAACGCCCAAGAAAACACAACGCGCCCACTCCTGTGCGTTGAAGCGGAGGTACAAATTTGAGGATTATGAAGGAAATCACGCACAAATTGTGAATGGTGCATGGAAACTTAATGAATGGGATTTCCAGGGGAGTCATTTCGCCCCTTTAAAGGCGTAGCATGAAACTTTTCTGATCCCAGCCTGCATGCTTACTACCCTTTTACTGATGCACTGACTACTTTCTACTACCAATGATATTGAAAACATCGTCCACATCGTCGCCACGTGAGGGAGAACGCTTACACAATAAAAAGATGTTTCAATTTCTAACCATGGTTTGAGTAGCAGTGCCCCTGATTTTCACATGGGGCAGACCTTTCGCAGTACAGATTTATGGTATAGAGTGGTTTCAAAATTGGGCAGGATGTCCTGATTTATGCAAAGCTAATATGTGCTTATTTCAAAACCGGGCATGCATGCGTGCTCCATCCCTGCGTCATTGAATAAAGGGCTATGCATGACAACCATCCTAATGTGAAAGATGTCCTCAATTTAAAGGGACACAACTACAAGACCCATGCATTATGCTGGCTTCCCATCGCCAAGGTGTCAATAGGTTGTAAATGTAGTGGATGATGGCCAGTGCATGTTTTGAGACACAGGGACCTTTCATCATCAACCACATGACTTAACGCAAGCCAAAATAAAGAACTCAACAGAGTAGGTGAAGTGGTGGCATAAATTACTTTCACAGTTTCCTGGCATGGATAAATATTTACTGGTGCGCGTGCCTATGCAAAGAATCACATGTAAATCACACAAAACACTGTGCACAGATAGTGCCAACTGATTGGCAGCACTAGCAGTAGCAGGACACGTGACTTCAATCAAGTTAGGCAGTGCATAACAGCAGCATCATCTAGTTCAGAGCTGCATAGAAGGCATGCACACAGGTGTGCAACTCTAAGAGGACAGAGCCCAGCCATTTTAAATGAACCCACCATTTATGATCCATATTGAATTAGCTGGCATGCCATACACTTCCATAACAGTGGGCATCTTAACATCACCATAACTTTTGAATGGTTCACTCAAAGCAAACTTGTGGCATAAGGCATCAGCCTGATGGGATGCTGCTCTGCGCTCTCTCTGATTGCGGGCCATGCAGATGAGTTCAGGTTTGACAAATGACCAAAAAGTGTGATGATGTGGACCAAACCCAGCCTTCTTGACCTTCAATACTGCCTGAAAGGACAGATCAGCACCATCACTGGTGAACAAAACCTGGTCACAACACTGTAGCACAAGTGATGGCAAGTAATCTGTGTTTAGTGTTCAGTACGGGGGACAGAAGACAGTGCCAAAGCCATGCATGATAGGCAGGCTGGACAGATGACAACTTAATGTAGATGTTTTTACTATCACTCAAGGCATCAGTTGAATGAGCATTACAGCAAAAACAAGAGATACTTCGGAGATATAAGAAAGGCTGGAAAGTAGATGCATCACAACAAACAGCTTGCAATCTCATTTACGATGGTTGTTGTTGAACACTTGCATGCAATCTGATTGATGTCTAGGACCATGCACCTGAGAGCAGAGTGCACACACACACTTCAGGAGCAGGGAGGCTGCAGAAAAGTAAACTAGACAGAGAACAGCACATCATGAAAATAAGCCAACAAAAAAACGACATATGGAACAAAGGTACAAATACAACAGGACAAAAGTCTGAGCAAAGCATTACACTTGAAATCACAGCAACAAAGTAGATCAATCGCAACACAGTACAAAGAGAGATCGATCAGTGACCAACAAAAGCATGGAAGGCCAGCTAGATCACCAGATATCCCACTACCTAGGCATGTACAATGTCATATTGAAAATGGACAGTAGCAATTTCCCCCAAAACACTGTCCCTTGTGAACCAGTCTAACAATACACCTCAAGCTTACCTGCTCCATGATAATTGCTGTCTCTAATTTGGTGATGGCATCACAAATACACTGAAATGAGAGGTGGCAGTGCAAATGGGGCCCAGAAGTTATCACTTAACATGTTAAAAAATATATTATTATCTGTCTGTTTCCAACACTTATCCATTTTTAAGCTGTGAACTTTTTAAGGAAACTTGACTACATACAGTGAATGGGGGCATGTGATGTCGATACTGGGGGCATATGATGTCGATACTGGGGGCATGTGATGTCGATACTGGGGGCATGTGATGTCGATACTGGGGGCATATGATGTCGATACTGGGGGCATGTGATGTCCCCAGTATCACACCCTGGCTTGGAGGGCGGGTGCCCGGAGAGTGGAGCCATGTACCTCGGGTTTCCCAGGAGTGCAGTGGTTAACGCGCTTGTGTTAACCACTGGAGACGACGTGGTTAACACAGACGCGTTAGCCAGTACACGCAAACGCGTTAACCACTTAATTGTCGGCACCCTGTCTGAGTGGACAGTGCACCAAGCGCCAGACGAGCACCGCAATTGCTTAGGGTCGCCCGGGTCGGGTGGCTTCCCTGATACGATCAAATGCGACCACTAACCAGCCGTTGTGGTTATCACAAGATGAACACCATGAAAGCACAACTCAACGCTGAGCATACCCACTTTTGTCCACTTCCCCTGCCCACCCCTGCCACGAACAATGACTGCGCCTAAACAGTTCTTCGCAACGCGAGGTCCCTGTGGAGTTCGGCATTCTGCGGCACAACAACGATGGAAGCCCAACGTTGACGTCCGCTGCGAGTGGCCTTGAAGTAGAAAGACCTATAACTTTTTTATGCAGCGTACCGGTTCAAAGTTTGGTGTGCATCGTGATCATAAGACTAATATGTATCAACACACGGATTTCAGAAAAGATTGAAGGAGTCCGCACTTTTTATTGTCATCTTTCATATCGTGATATATCCGGTAATAGGGCGTACTGGTCCGAGATTTTGTGCTCACTGTGCTCAGGAGATCCAACTGCATCTGTGTGCAAAGTTCCATGCCAATTTGAGCAGTCCGTTGAATTTTGAATATGAAACTGAGTTAAGCATGATAAAATGCAATGCGTGCTGCATTCGCGACCTTGACATTATAACAGCTATAACTTTTTTGATACGGTGCACCGGTCCAACGTTTTGTATTTATCGTAATCAGATGGTCAATATCTACTAGCACGCGGAATTTAGAAAGAATTGAAAGAGTCCGCCTTCTTTATTGTGACCTTTGATATTGATATATCTCCGGTAACAGGGAGTACTGGTCCGAGGTTTTGTGTTCATTGTGTTCAGGAGGTTAAACTGCATCTGTGTGCAAAGTTTCAGGGCAATTTGAGGAGTCCGCTGAATCCCGAATATGGACCTGAATCTGAATGTGAATGTGGTGCCAACTTGACGGACGTAAGTAGAATCTCTATTTTCGCATTGCTGTCGCTAAAAATCTGCTTAGAAGAAAAGTTCAGAATTGTCCAAAATGGATGCGTGCCGCTAATTAGTTTCTTAGCAGTAAGAGTTGTTTTCAAAGACTCGGCAGCATTATTTCACGATGGCTGTTCTCAGGCGCCAGGCTCCACTCCACTCCACTCCACGGGCACCACTCGGTGCTAGCTGCAGTGGCCAACGCCCATGCGTGAAAAAAAAATGCCCACTTGACTACCAGGGCGGGAGACAGAAAATATGACGATCAAACTGCCCAGGAGCCACCCGCACAGACTGTAACTGTGTTCTCGCCAAGTCAATTTTCCATTTTTCAACGATAAAACATTTTTGCCCTGGAGTTATGGACGACAATAATGGCATCATACACGACGACGTTGAATTTAGTATTCTTTTCCTTGTCAGTAAAGAGACTGGTGGCCAGAAGGTATCACCCGGCGAGACAGAGTTAATTTCTATAAGGGTCTGTCTTGCTCAGGTTTCCGAGTAATCTTAACATTTACCGCTTGTCTCCCTGAGCAGTCCTTTTTTCAGCGCCATTCGACGCATTATATATCTGACGCTACATGTGACACGTGTTGGTGTCACATTGGCCGGCGTTGCGATCTGTTGTGGGGGGGAACATTCACTACGTGCATGCTGGTTACGCGTAGTTTTGGGTGTTTTAACAAATATACATTGCACTTTTCGCTAGGTGAGAACATTTGCGCTTGTCTCTTTATAGCCTTGGGTCTTTTGCGTTGAAGCTTTGCCTATTTTTCAGTTGCCAGGCACGGATAAACATCCATCACGTATGAAAATGCGCTGTGGGCACGTGAACCGTGATTTTAATGGGGAAAGAAGAAACTTGAAACGGCACATGAACGCTAAGCACAAAGGTTTACCATTGTCCTTAAGAATTGAAGTTTTGGTGCAGGTGGAAGGTGGGAATCTTGGCTCCAAGGTAAGAGTTTAAATTGAATCTACGTCAGTACGACTGCCCATTCCGCACAGTACGTAATGTTTAATAGTATTTACCAAAGGTAGATAGGCATGACTAAATACACTTCCATACCTATCAAACACAGTGAATGAAATCATCTAGAATCACTGATTTGGTGGCAGAAGACACAGTGTAACAAATCGTGACTTCCTAGTTTGTATGTGCAGTTTAATGCACAATTATCTTCAGCTTGGTGTGGTTACCACCATTCACTAAAATTAGTATGCATGATATAAAACAAAGAACAAGTGAGGAAGAGCCGAACTGACCCCCAAAAACGAGAAAAATTAATTGTTTTTTAATGAATCATGCTCCTCAGCTGAGAGGCATGCTTGTCACTTTGCATGTAGTCAGTGATATTTTGTTGTTTTTACAGTGATGTTAGCCTGTCTACTTGCAGGTACTTTGCCAATAACAGTTTCTGTTCATTCCAATTTTTTGCTTGAAAGGTTTGCTAAGGGTTGTAAAATAGATTGGCCATAATTTTCCACAGAAATGAACAGTGGCACAGATGACAGAGAACAAGGCATCAACACTTTTGAGAGGCCGAGCAGTTCAGCCAGTCTGGCTCTGTCATCAGTTTCTGCAGACCAGACTGGAGGTGAAATTTTCAAATACGCTGTTTGTGGTGGTTGGATATTGATGGTAAATGACGGGTCTCTTTTTATTCAGTGCAAAATGTTATTAAAATGGCAAAAATTTCAGACAAATTTCAAGATCGGCATTGAATGGTGGTTTAGGGTTTCCTGGCAAGCTGTGCATTGCATAACACATATTACAATCACAGTATTGTTACATTACACTTAGCAGCCGGTTGATGGCAATGTTCCTAGGGACTCATTTTCGTCACGAATCGTATTCATTCAAATTTATCAGATGCTACCCTCAGTTACAGTTACCACCAGCTTTCCCATTGCTTGCCAGATCAATATTTCATCATCCTTTAACAAGTGCTTAGGTAATGATATTGAGTGGGGAAGTGACAACATCCATTCAAAATCAAGCTGTTTTGTAATATACACCACCAGTTTCATCAGGCAATATTTGTGTTTCATGGTATGATATGTACCTCACCTGTATTTTCCTATAACAATGGTGCTGTGTCCAAGGTGTGTGATGTCTTGTAATGCCTTTTTATCAAGTTAACTGTCGTGCCGTTTTCCAGGAACTGCAAGCTGCACAGTGAGCAGAGCTTACGATGATGCCACTCCTGAATCAGCATCTCTGCATCCCTTGTCTGAGTACCCACCAAACTCCAGTCAGAAAACTGCAGGTACTAAGATGAGCTGCATTGGTTGGATTTGTGACATTTGAAATGTAGCATGTCCTTACTGTTGATCTTAAAATGGCCCCTGCATGGACATGGATTTGATGGTGTGACGGCTGAAAGTCAAGTTGGGTTGTCAGTCATGTAACAATACTCTACTCTGGCCAAAATGTTACTGCCTCATTATGTGTCTTCATGCTCAGAATATTTCATATCCATTTTGGTCTCAATAAAAGTATGTCTACCACTGTTCATATCTTTTGATATTACAAAATTATTGTCTTGAAATACTTGTTGTTTTATTTATCATGCAGTGCTTAGATGTTGATATTGAATGGGGATGCCAATTCCCATTAACAGTTTGGGTGTTTCCAAGAAGGTAGGGCATTTTTGTGGGTAAATTCTGATGTTCCTGATGTTTTGCCATTAATCTGCCTTTTCCACAGTCGGTTGTGTTTGGTTAAAGCGCACAGATCTGATTATTCAGTTCTATGCGGCACATCACCATACTGTTCTCCACAAAACGCGAAATATGCTTGGAGCAGAGCCCAAGATTTTGTCACATCAGAGCCAGCTTCTCTGCAGTCCTCCTCTGAGAGCTCATCAAACTTTGTTCAGGAAAGCACAGGTACGTTAGTTGGCCACTGATGTTGAATTCATCAAAGAAGAGATGCAGCTGAGCTCGTAGATCAGAGATGGTGGAAATAGGTGAAGTCAATTGGGTCATTCAAACAGTGTGAGTGTATGACGCTCCGAATGACACGATATTTTGATTCCAATGAGCAAAACGTGGATGTCGAATGATAGCAATATTATTTTCTTTGTCACGATGGAAATAGAAGAACGGGAAGCGGGTACTTAACCTCGTAACAATACGCAGTGTTGTTGGCATTAATTAACGCTACCTCGCGTCGGGGGAAGCGGGTACTTAACCTCGTAACAATACGCAGTGTTGTTGGCATTAGTTAACGCTACCTCGCGTCGGGGGAAGCGGGTACTTAACCCCGTAACAATACGCAGTGTTGTTGGCATTAGTTAACGCTACCTCGCGTCGGGGGAAGCGGGTACTTAACCTCGTAACAATACGCAGTGATGTTGGCATTAGCTAACGCTACCTCGCGTCGGGGGAAGCGGGTACTTAACCTCGTAACAATACGCAGTGTTGTTGGCATTAGTTAACGCTACCTCGCGTCGGGGGAAGCGGGTACTTAACCTCGTAACAATACGCAGTGTTGTTGGCATTAGTTAACGCTACTTCGCGTCGGTACGTGCCCGTTGAGGAGGCAGTACATTGCGTGCATCATGAAAAAAACGATGTTGCACCTTTATTGAGGTATTGTTTCAAGGCTCAGTTGTTATGTCAGTCTCAATACCGGAGGGTTTGTGAGAAAATATCCATACATCCCATCTTTCTCTTGCAGAGCCACCACAGAAGACCGGATGTGGTCGACAACGCATGTTGTCCCGACCCAGTGGCAGACGTGATTTGCGCTCCGGCAGAGGCACTTCCAGCCTTCAAAGCGCTTCTGGGCAGCATCTGGTGGCTTCACCAAGGAGAAATATTATTTTCTGTGATATCTGTACTTCAGAGCCCCATGAAAGTGACGCTCGCCGAACTGGAGTCTTCGCATATGATTTCAATCTCGGTTCCGAATTTCCGCGCAGTGATCCCATGCCCATGTTCAAGTCTTTAGAGTGGCCGTCAAGGGACATTTCATGTCCTCGCAACACAAGAAGACCGAGGCGCTGGCCAGAGAAGCGGAGGGCAAAGAGGCTGCTCGCTCGGGCGAACGTGAATCCGTCGCCCATCGTGTGCTGCGCGCGGCGTACTACAGATAAAAAATCGTTGCCGCGTGAAAAGTTTGAGGACCTCATCGCCTTACTTCATGCCAGTGAGGCAAATGTGAAGGTAAAAACCACAGCGCAATGTTCATGAACAAGGCTCGTGATGCCTTCTATGAGGAGATGATGGGAATGATACGAAGGCATGTTTCATCTCAGCCGTGCGTCGCACTTGTTGTGGACAAGGTGGCGTTGAATCGGCACACGGTAGACATCACGGTCATCATCACGGTCGTTTCCGACGCACCAGAGGAGAATCTCGTGCAGAGCCTCGTGATCGGTTCCCCGGTGGTGAAAGACCATGATGGTGAATCACTCGCCCAAGAGCTGAAAGCTACCCTGGCCACCGTGGGGATTGAATCAGCCCAAAGAGTAGCTTTCTTCGCAGCCGACGGCCAGTACCACCATGCGTCAGTCCTTCAAAGACTGACAAACGCTCTTAACTGCGCGGACAAAGATGGACAAGATGAGGTAGCTTCAATGCCTGCTGTGTGGGATGCAAGCCATCTTATAAACTTGGCGGAGCAAGACGCTCGAGCTGGAACTGCGTGTCTGTGGGTGGACGAGACGATAGACACTATGACAGGGATCACCAGAAGATTTAGCCATGGCAGAGGTCTGGAAGAACTCTTGGATACAGCGGTGGATGGTGCCACAACTGTGACACCTAAGTTGTGGTCTAACACCAGGTTCGCTGCGCACGCGGCCAACACCATGAAGGCGTTCAGGACGAACTCCGAGACCATGTGCGTGGTTTTGCGTGGCCGTCTCAAAAGAGAAAGAAGGGTGCCTGTCGCGCAAGATCTATGGAAGGACATCTCTTCTCTCAATGGTCGGTGGCCTTGCAAAGTTTATTTGTATTGATACTAAAAATTCATTTATCAGTGGTCACCCAAGCAGACCACTTACTGTGCTGAGCGTGCGTGCATCGTTCCGCGGTGCTTTGTGACTGAATGTATGAAGTGTTTAGTGGTATATATATATATATATATATATATATATATATATATATATATATATATGCGCACCACGCATGCAAGCATGCATGCACGCATGGTGCGTGCACGCGCGCGCTACTATTTCCCGTGGCCTTGTGTTCACTGGACTATCTATTATCTTTCAGATGAGACCTTCAAGACACGTTTGGCTGCTCTGCATGATGACTACGACGTCCTTGGGAGAGATAGCCGGGCACAGCAGAATACTAAGTTGCTATCCTGGGAGCATCGTGCTGAGTACGGCGCCACGGTCGACCAGCCACATGCTATGGCGTCAGCCGTAGCAGCCCTGGGTCAGAAGGACGTGCACCACACAGCGGAGGCCGTCGCACAGGTGGACTTCGAAGAGCTCTGGCCGAATATGGTCCGGTACAAGAGTAGCGTACAGGTGAGCGTGAACACGTTTTATATATATATATATATATATATATATATATATATATATATATATATACGTACATACAGGTCGCGGGTATCACCATTGGCAGTTGGCCCATGGGCTCCACCCATGCTTGGTTTTGTAATAAGGCGGGAAGCCGCCAGTAATCGAAATCCATTTGCAGTCATGGAGCCAATATTCCCAGAGCGTGCACGTGATATTGCCGCGACACTGTACCGTGAGAATCCGAAATCGCTAAAACCATGCATTCGTAGACTCTGTGAACCCTGTGGGATTCCGAGAGTGGCTCTTTGTAGAACGCTGGCAATCCCTGGAGTCAGAGGAATGCTTTCGATAGTGCATATCTCCATCAAATAGCCATAATGAGCATCAAATAAGAGCAGCAGCTCATTCGAACTACAAGCGGAAAGCGATAGATCATAACGAATTCTAGCTGGAAGGGTTGGGATCTCGAGGGCGCACGTAGCAAAGATCTTAGAAGTAACCAAGTCTCGGTACCGAAAGCGTAAGAAGGCATCCTAGTTCACCACAAAACAAGAAACAATCCAAATCGTCCGCACAATGTCCACATCAGATCATTGTCATACAGACTTATGTCACATTATGGTGGCACGACGTAAGCGCCACGAATGCAAAGGCATGGACCTATGACAGGATACGAATATCTCGATATTCTGCCAAATCCATACGCTCTGAGCCCTTGGCTGACTTGTTGGATGGTGCCTAACCTGAAGAATAACCAATGTAAAAGAGCAAGTAACGTAGAAAACTTCTGGTTTCGCGCCGTGTACACGTGCACACGAGACATGATATATAACAGTCTCTTACTGCGCGTAAAAAACATTGACGATGTCAGTGTGAGCCGTAAGAAGTGCACTGGAGATGAGTTCATTTCGTTTTTGCATGAGAGCCATTCGGACAGAGATATGCTGTCCTGGGCACACTTGCCCAGCGCCCATCATGCGCACAATAGTCAGGAGTTGCTTGAAGAGGCCGGAGTACCGTATTTGTCGCGTGACACCAAGTCCCCGCGTGCCCCAGCTACGTTTCACTGACCCAGATCTGTCGTGCAAAATGCTGGTGTACGTGCCCAGCAACGTACGCGCAGTCAAAAGCAAGTTTGTGGTAATGGAGATGATGCACTAGGCAAGAAACAGCTGCGGTATCCAAGATTACGTTTCTGGCAGGTTACGTTGATACGGTGATATGCGTACTAATAGCATGATTTTAACTTTGTGTTATTGTACAGGGCCCGCCCGTTCCATCATCAATCATCCCACGTCAAATAAGAAGTCGAGCTCCTCCACTGAACTACGGAAGGAGGACTCAAGAGAAAACGCTGGAGTGGGCTTACGCGGAGAAGAAGTAAATGAAGATGCATCGCAGTTTAGCCTGCAACGCCCAGGGATAACTGAGGAGGGATGAAGGGTGTTCAGTCTACAGCAGCCTTATAAAAACAAATCTGAAAGATGCATTTTTTGTTCAGCATAGAAGACATGGAAGAGAGAAAAAAGTCATTTTATTGAATATGGAATGCAAGAACTAATCACATGAAGAGTCTCAGAAATGTGATACATGACTGACGAGTATTGAGAGCAAGAGAAATGTGGGAACCACAAAGAAGATGTTCTTAGAAAGCTAATACCAAAAAAAATCATCCTTATCATAACTTAGTTTTCGCACCCTACTACCACTTTTATCAAGAATTTCACTGAAATAGGTGAAATGCACAGATGTGAACATTGAGACACAAAAATGAGACTTATTTGTCCATTAAAGAGTTCTTGATAACGTTTGACAGAGGTTTGGAGAGATGTGATGAATTCGTAACTCTTCTGGGTTTACAAATCTGCTACGTGGCATGTTCTGACGGAAGCGGTGTTACTGGGTGATTAGTTCATGGTGCAGTTTACAAGGTGGCATACCATTATTGGCAGGCAATGTGTGCTAACAGACTTTATGCCTATTGCTGAAGTATGCAAAATGTCTTCGGTTTCTGGTGCGATAATGAAAACGGTATGCTCAATGCACGCTGCTGGTGAACTTATGTGGTCACGTGACGTTTTCAATGACCAATGGACTTGCCTCTCGCATGTCATCCACCATTACCATTTTAACTTGGTTAAACTGAGCTGCTTCTTACCTTTAGTTGCTTATACACAACGCTGCTGGTAACGGTTGGTTACAGACTGCGCAGCTGACTGCATCTGGAAGTTGCTGCGGCCCACAGGGAGCTGCGCATGACCCCTGCTGCGGGCTACCCGCCGCTTCTGAGGCGGTGCTGTGGGCTGCCCGCCGCTTCTGAGGCGGGGCTGCGAGCTGCGCGCCACTTCTGAAGTGGTGCTGTGGGCTGCACGCCACTTCTGAGGCGGGGCTGCTACATGACTGCTGTCAGGCAGTGCCTGCAACAACTGCTTTAGACGCTGTTGCTGAATTGCTGCTGGCTGAGGAGAGCAGCCACGATTCCTTAAGATGCAGGTGACGGGTTTTTCACAGCTGTGTTGAGCGTTTAGTTTTCGATGTGCGTAGACAGCCATTCGTTGTATTTGGGAACCGCGTGACATAACCCAGGTCCTTTAAGTGTTTAGTGGAAGGAGTATGTGCTGCAATACTCGGAGCCAGTAAAAAGAGTGTTACAGCTCAAAAACAAACGTTAACATTTGCGTTGGCAGCTTTACCTAATGCATTGTAAGCAAGATGTTCATCAAGCTAATGTCGTATCCGTATTCGAATTCGGCGTACAGTTCATACCTCCAACAGCAGCCTCCTTGGTTCAAACCTAATAAGTTATTCACGACCTGCAATTCCCTTTTTCTGAGTCACCTGGTTTGACCTCTGCAGGCCAATGAGGATCAAAAATTTGGCCACTACCATTCCTTTGTTTCGCACGTTGTTGTTACCGCTTGGCCAGGCTACTGCCTCATCCATTCCTTTGCTTATCGAGGAAGTCCAATAAAATGGGTACAAAATTGATGTTCGTGATGCCTGCTTTCGTCACACTTAAAAACTAACTTTCAAGGTCAAAGGTGAAGGTAAAAAAGCGCGGTACCCTGGCATTTATTCGTTTACTGTATAAGTACCGCCACAAGAAGCCATATCGAAGCTCAGGACTCGCACTTTCGTCACAATTAAAACACGAACTCTCAAGGTTAAAGGGAATGTTCCGCACTTGAATATTTTGAGATAAGCGTCAGATATGATGAGAAAAGATTACTTGTAAGTATTGTTAAGTTTTTGGGGTTCAAAGACAACCATGAGCAGCAAAATTTCGAAGTTTGTAGAAATGCGTCCTGTTACGTCATTGTGTGAGAGCGTTATGGAATGGTTTTATGACGACAGCAATACCTGGCAGCACCTGGCAGCGACCTAAAGAATACCTCAAAAAGTACGAAACCCGACGCCAACCGGTCATAATCGTCGCGAGCGCTGTGTTGGGTGGCGGATTAGTAAATGGCTTGTTTGTGGATTTTTTGCCTTGATTTCGGTCGTAGCAGAAGCTTTGGTGGTCTGTTTGACATACGCACCGTAGTAATCACCAGCTTTTAGGACAGATTATTGTTATCAAAGCATGATATGTTGTGAAGACGGCCCTATAGCGCCAGGAATCTCTCACCGGAACCTGGCAAGGACTGTTGAGGATGTCATTTCTGTATTGTCGATTTATCCTCGCTTGCGGTGCTGTAGTCCTAAGATTAATATCATGCAATGTGCACGGTAGCTATTTTCTTTATGATTCGTGACTGAGAGTGGAGTTGCATGCAAAAATTTGTAAATCTGTAACATTGCTATGAATTGATTGCCAACGCATTGCTATTTCTATGGCAAAGATGGTAAAGTTGAGCTACCAAGAATGCTTTTATTGCTTAGGGTTATCTATGCACTTACTAGCTAACCCTGACATAACCATCGCGGTGCAACAGCATTGTCGCTGGTGATAGCCCTCTGGCATTGCCGGGGCAGCATGCATCATTGTATTAACTCCACATCTGACATGTGACTGACCAAAAACACATGATGCAACATACAAGTCATTCAGCAAAACACAACCAAGAAGTGACATCACCTGCTGCAGTCTGTTTTAGTAATCCACAAAATATAGGTGGCAAAAATGCAAACACGTCTTCTGCCTTCGCAGCCATGCAACATGCTGCAGCCATCAGGCTGCTTCACTAAAAATATGTTTACACAAATAATAAAGCATGTATAACAAGAAAATATTACAAGGAGTAAAAGGACAAGGCAAACATGCTGGCCTTGCACAACGCCGGACTCATGCCAAAATCATGTAGTTATAGTTAGATGGGCGGAATGCAAGGAAGTGATGAGGCTGCTGGTGTATACAAGGCTCATGATAAAAGTATTATTAGGTGCTATCTAAGAAACCAACAGTAATACTTCGCCACCTTCGTCAGCACCCAGCATCTCACACAAGTTGCAGTGGCTATGACAATGATAACTCGCAAGCAATGCTTGCCTGCGTACAAAATTTGTTGAGGCGGAAATCTGTGCATCCATGATAGTATAGCACTACATTGTCAAAATTCTTAAGTTAAAGACAATTTTGCAAAGCTGTATTATGCGAGCTTATACCAAGCATGCGCATCATTAAGCTGTGCCGACTTGTCCCTACTGCCTAAATGAATTGCTTGTATAATGACATGCAATGGATTAATTACCTACCGTAATGTCTCGATAGGCTCAAAATGTTGGCAAGATCATAATTAAGTAACAAATTGATTTTGAACACCCCTGAAGCAAGGGTGCTAGTGTTTCCTTCAGTTTGCTGACATCACTACCCTGTCATGTTTAAAGGCAAACGTAAAGATAGAGGCAGGTATGAATATACCACATATTATGGGGAGTCCTTGGCTTTGAAGAATTCCAAAAACAACGTTCTCTCTCAGAAGTACAAACCTTGCACGCGCACCCCCCACCACATCAATATCAATTCAAGCCACTGGCACGCACCACCAGGGATTGCACCACGTTTCAAGCGCCTTATTCACGTTCTAATATCAAATAAGTGTGATCCCACACCGCACAACCTGCGTGACAATCAACTTGTAGGTTTTCTCGCAATTTCCGCGCAGGTTTTTGGCTATAACACCACGTTTTATCGTGAGCTCCCTTCAAAACAAAGTGACAACGGGGGTTCATGGTAATGCGACTAAAAAGGTTGTACTTGTTAGACACAATTTCTTCACGTCAAGATTTAAATTTACCGTACAATGTGTGTTAACGTTTACTGAGATATGTACCTAAAATTACCGTAATATTTCCCTAATTTCATATGCCTTGCTAACCCATAATCCCGCGCAGGGTCTTTGCCCCGGTACACGAGGCGCCAACTGAGCTGTCGGTAAGAAATACGTCAGTGGAAAAAACGCCAGCAGAAGAAAAAGGCAGATTTGACGTCGCATGTTCTTTTTTTATTGGATTCGGGAGAGTGACATTCCTTTTTCGGCGCAGTAATTGTTTGCAGACAGTGGCGTTCTTGCTTTATAATATTGACCTATGGTCTAGAAAAAGGGAAAACGCCCCGTTGGAGACGAGTGCCGCATAAATCGAAAGTGCTCACGCTTACGTTCGCGACACGCATTCAGCAGCGAAATCTTGCTAACAGCGAATCACTTTCCGCGGATTGCATCATACGTCCCGCATCGCCGCTCTTTCGAAGGTATCAGCGGCCATGCTGTTTTGGCCATGAGCAGAAAACAGTCTGTAATATAACAGCAGTCCTATAAAGTTTCTATGATGAAGTCAATGCCAAGGTGACCTTGAAGTAGCCCCCAATAAACTTCTTCGCACTTTTGTGGGCGTGTAACTCAGGAACCAGGGGTTTTGGGTTTTAAAAAGGACATGGCCGTGAACTTCAAAACGTCCTCAAGATGGCTGTTTTAGTTTTAAATCCCATGTAAACGTGGAACATTCACTTTAAATGTCAACTCACAGCAAACACGATACACTGGCATTTTGTGTTCCCTGAAGAAATACAACAAAATGGGTGTCATTCCTGAAGGCCCGGTCAGCCAACCGTCACGGCCAATAATCACCTTCATAGCCCTCCCGGAAAGAAACTGCTTGGAGTGGCTGCGTGAGTGTACTCACCGGAGATTCTTGGGTGGTCGTTACGCTCAGGTCATTCGAAATTCGTTGCTTTTAAAGCCTCGTTTGCTTTTTATCGCACCCCCCCCCCCCCTCCAAATACACCACGGGTGCTTGCCTCAAGTGCTTTTTACATGAACATGGTGGAACCCCTAGCATGAAAAGTGCGACCTTGTTCTCGGAAAGGAGGGACCGCCCTTTATAATAATAGTAATAGATATAACCTTGTCTTCAATTTACATACGGGGGTGTAACCTCGGAGACAGCTTACTATACTTCTTTTGATTTCCATTAAAAAAACATCCAACACGAAAGGCTAGCAACTTGACAATGGACCAAATAAGCAGGAACTGACAGCTCACGGTATGAAATGTTGCGTCAGTACCATGGCTGGGCTGCCGCCAGAGTGGCAGGCGGACCACAGAAGGGCCGGTGTCGTTCGGTGATACACCTATCGACCCGGTGCGCAGGCCGATGACCTGCCGCACGACGCCGCCTCAGCTTAGAGCCACCATCAAAGTTGCGGCAGAAGAGCGCCGCAGTTGCCCAGGGCATTAAGATGTCCTGTTTAAACGAGCGCGAGCTTCAAGCTCGCCTCACTCGCCAGGCTGCGATCCGCTGTTACAACTAATGCGTGTGGCTGGTAAGCATGTTCACAGTCATGGCTGGTAATCGTGTGGTGGGTAACATAGCACGCATATAACGACTTCGGAAGCCGCGATAAGCGCAGCGTGCTGAGGTTAAATAAAAGTGTCCGGAAATCCTGTTTCCATGAATATATTTCGAACCGCTTTAGGTACGCCTGCAACTTGCCGACACTTGATAGATTAATTTGGTATGTTCTCGAGAAGCATCTGCAATACCTTGTCAGCATGACAATACGTTATTGCGTACTACTTGAATATTTGCAAGGCAGTACTTACCGTTGCATGGAGCCCGTCCAGTCGCCAAGGTGTGGACCAATTTTAGAGCGTGTGATTAACATTTGTGACTTCCCAGGTGAATGGAGTGAAGGATGTAACGGTGCAGTGCTGATAGCGGAGCGTTAGAGAAATTCAGTGCCTGTCCAAAGAACTTGC